AGAAAAAAGGAGGAAAAGTGATAAAAAGAAGACTGATTAGCATTTGTTAAAATAATATAAAAATGCGGATTGATCTTTTGATTCCTGGACCAGAGCCACGAGATGGATGAGAAAGATGGGCAAGGGCTTAGGAAAGCTTGAAGGACATTCTGAGCAGCCAGGGAGGACATTCGAAGTGGCCAAGCCTCAGCAGATGCTTTTCTTTCCTGATTACTTGTCTCTTGTCTGATTACCCTAGTTTCTGTGCCCCACATCCCTGGGATGTGTCTGGATATTTGGAGGCATCCTAGGGGCAAGTGCCTAGGGGCTATGACCAAAGTTGGCCATGTGTATCATGCTCATATAAAGAAGTTTAGCTATAAAGCATCTGGAGAAGAAGACATCATTAATTGACCTCTCCAAGTTATGATGTCCTCATTGTAAAATTGTACATGAAAGGCCAGGCCTTCACTCAGAGGGGCATGTAGGTGGCATATCTGGGTTGATGCATGACACAGGCCCTCAAAAGCAGCAAGGACTTTGAGCAGAGGTATCGAAATCCCCCATCCCTAGCCCTCAACCATGGACCCATTGCTGGTTCTGTGCTCCCTGAGATTTGAGAATCCTATAAAAGCCCCGTTGGCTGTAGGTTTGGTCTCTGTTCTTCGCACAACCTTGGGAATTTTATCACCCTCCTTAAAGGCCGTTCTAATTGCTTGGCTTCACAGTTCATCATCTTCTTAACTTAGGTGAATCCTAAGAGCTGGGCTCATTTCTTCTCTTATCTCTTTGCATAAAGTTTAATGGGTATGCAATCTTTTAGCTTTTCTTTTTTTCTACCTGAAAAGTTGTGATAACAAAAATAACAATGACTACAAGCTTGTGTGAAGTTAATTATTTTAAATGAACAAAGAAGACCAAGCACCTGAGAAGAAAATGGCTCAGAAATTGGAAAGAAAGCCTTATGCTGTACTACAGTTGGTTGCTATTTGGCTCTTTTATTTTTCTCCTGAGTAACATAAGAGCCATTGAGCTTGGAGGACATGAACATCCTGTACAGGAAATAGATGGTGTGTGGAGGTGAGGGGGGCACCTGGCCATCATTCTTTGAATCCTTCAGTGAGCGTCACTTGAATACGTTATAGAAGCGAGTCAAGGGCTGGAAAACAGGCTCTGCTTGGATGGTTTCCAACACACTTCACAAAGCTCAGGAAAAGCTCAGCTAAGCCACACGCATTTTATGTTTTCCTGAGGAAAGACTCTGCTTGTTGGTCTCAGGGTTAAGGAGTTTCAGCAAGTTTTTATAGAGACACTAAAACATTCTCTTCATATTTTCCTCCAACACTGAAAGGAGCCCAGGGGATAGAATCGACCATGTGGCCGCTTAAGTGCCTGCTGAGCCAGTTGTTGGGTCAGTGACAATGTTGTGGTGAGCCCTCAGCTACCCAGCTTCACTGGATGTATCATAAGTGTGTGTGCGCGCACGCGCGCGCGTGTGTGTTTATATAAGATCTTAGTTGAAACTTGCAGAACCTAAGCTCAGAAGAGTGGATGTGTGCATTTCTGGATTTCTTACTTTGACCTGATAGCACAGAATGAACATCTCCATCTCTCCCCCAAAATGGCTTTATCCTGAGGACAAAATAAGCACCATGTAAATTGTGAAATGTGGAGAGACACACAGGTGAGGGGGAGGTGACAATGGTCTCAAGACTCAACAGCTGCAGCGTTTTTTTCTCAAAAATACTTTTAAAGAGAAAACTAAAGCATTTGCTCTTCTTTTGTGAGACTGATTTAGAATGCTCGTTGGAGCAAAAAGCCCATTTATGAACTGACTTCGGCCTTTTTCTGCCCTGTCATACCCCATTGTGTTTATTTCAGAACCTGAGATTTACATGGAGCGAATATTAATAGGGAACAAAACCTGTAGTCATCGCAATTTGCATTTGCCAGTGCAGGTTTCCTTTATCTGCTGAATTAATTTAATTGTTTCTTTTCTATAAAGAAAAGTAATTTTAGCTTTCTCATGTATGCTTCTCCATAGGAAGCTTGCTACTATCTTTGAGAGATTCTACTTTGCTCACAAACTTGTATTTTCCTCATTCATAATTAATGTGTTTTATATTGTCATTTTCCTTAAATTTTAGCCGTAAAAAGTATATATAATTATAGTAAACGGAGACACTGGAATATTGTTAGTATCAGACAAGTATCTAACAATACTCCTACGGTAGAATATCAGTGTATTTCTTTTTTTTTCCCCAGGTTTTCAGTTTTATTATAGTAGGACCAGAAATTAGATCTTTTTTCTTTTGATTATCTGATTGCAATTTATGATTAAGAATCAACTGGTTGAATAAGTGTGAGGATAAGTTTAAAAGTGAGTTAAAAAAGTATCCTGATGCTAATGAAGAAATCTACAAAGTTTCCTCTTTTAAAGACCTTCAGAAAAATCCAGGAGCTATGTTTAATTTGAGCTCTCAGTTTCTTTCAAGGAAAAAAAAGTGTACACTTAAGGTAATTTTCCATTTTCTAACTAGAAAGAACATATGACACTCTTGATCAAATTATTGACCACTTGACACAGGACAGTATGATGCAAGATGCTTAAAGAAATATATATACATGCTGTTTGGAAACTATGCAAATGTATAAAAAAGTGTAAATCTGTGACTTGAATAAGTGGCAAAGTAGTTTTACTTCAGCCTGATGAAGCAGCGCCACCTACTGCACACAAGCTTTATTTCATGTTTGAGAATTCTTGGGTGGAAACTGATCTCTGTAGACCTAAGCACAAAACAAAATCAGTTTGCAGTCTGATCTGTTAAGATCTACATCCAGGTCAACTTATTGAAATATTTATTTTTCCAGTGTGTGTATGTATCAGGCTACACATTCATATTGAGAACAATAATTAAATAAGAGGGTGGGAAAGAATAAAAGATAAAAGAATAAATATGAAAAAAATAGGAATATAGAATATTGCTTCTTGGTGCCTATTCATGTGTCTTTTACTCTGAAAATAAGTCTGATGTTCCTCCAGTTGCCCTTTTACACGTCCTAATGGCATAAAAATCAATAGTTAGCCCACGCTTATTTAAATTGAACCACTGTTCATATTTCATCCTAGACTGCCCACAAATTAGTCCTTTATTAAATGATTACAGATTTAATAGGTCTTCATTGAATTGTCCTTTCTCTAGTGTTTTTTTATTCCTGTCATAACGCTTAATTCTACAATATTTTTAGCTAACAACTCCTGATCTTTCCAATGTATTTTGCATATGCATTTACATAGAGTATTAACGAACACATCTTTTTATTAAGTTGCGGTCATTAATTACCCTTTCAACCATTTTGGTTTATTTCATCTAGTCTTTACACCACAACATAAAATAAATGACAGGAGATATGGTACCATAGTGGTCATGATTCTGTTTATTGTTCTCTATAACTCTTCCAAGGTCTTGACTGGCTGTTGACCCCTCACATCACTCATGATGAAGCTGACACTTTTGTGCTGAGAAGATCATATTTCAGATCCCGATGCATGCTTAATTTTTCAGCATGCACTTATTTCTATTAAATTGTATTTGTCAAGTACTGTTTATTTATATATTAATTGAATGTCATACAGTTGGGAATTTATAATGTTTAACATTTGTCAGGGCTTTGATTTCCAAATATACTGAAATGGCACATAACTTGTTTCTATATCATATGCCAAAGTCGTAATTATATACTTGAAACATGTTAGAAATCTAGACATACAAAATCACAGATGGTTTCAATTTTGTATCCTTATTTGAAGAAAAGCTATTTGAATTCCAAACACTGTCAAAAACTTGATTTTCTCATACTTGTCTATAGTATCTTAAAAGACTTTTGTTATATTTATTGCATTTTTACTCCTTCCATTAATGCTGATTGAATATCTGCTATATACCAGACGCTATACTAGGTTCTGGAGATTCAGTGATTAAAACGTATATTCCTTACCCTCAATGAGCAACCTTTTTGCAGAACAAAGAGTGTGTGGATAGTTCTAGAACACTAAGGGCAAGGAGCTGTGGGCACAAAAGGAAGTGAATTCAACCCAAACTTTAGTAAACAAAAAAGGATTAGGGGGAAATCAAGAAGACTTCCTGGAAGAGAGAAATTCTACATTGCACCTGCAGAGAAGATAAAGTGTTTTGTCAGGAAGACAAGTAGAGAAAGGGTGCTCCAGGCTTGGAGAAGGGATTTACAAGGACACTGAGATGAGAGAGCAGGACAGCTTTTGGAAAATACATGTTGTTCAGTTCACCTGGGACTCAAGACTGCAAGTGAAGAAGTTCTGAGAGATGAGACTGGACAAGTAGGCAGACATCAGATAATGGAGGATCTTTTATGCTTTTAGACCTTATTCTGAATGCTCTAGTGTTTTTAAAATATTTTAACTAAGGAAGCAAGAGAGTGAGTGATGGAATGGGATTTAAACTGGTTAGAAAGCTCCCTCTAGCAACACTGTTGAGAAAGGATTTGAGTAGGGTGTGAGTGGAGGAAGGGGAATCAGTTAATAAGTAGGATAGAAAGTGATCCAAGGCAGGTTGATGAATGATGATGGGAGATGCCAAGGGGAAGATGAATGTTTCATGGGTTATTGCAGTGGTTGAACTAATTTAGTGACTCAGTAAATGGGAAGACTATAGAAGAAGTCCAGGAAAACTTCTGTTTCCAGCATGGGAAGACTTTGGTGGCACCATACACTAAGATACAGGCAGTGCACAGATTAGAGATGCACAGAGAAGAGAAGAGTTCTACTGTATTATGTTAAGTACACTCAAGTGGAGAGATCCAGTGGGTGGCTGGTTATAGACATCTGGAGTTCAGAGGAGAGATTTGAATTGGACATCTTTAAATCTAATCTTATGAATCCTTAATAATATGTAAAACTTCCCTGAAAAAAAAATAAATTGGTTCTGTCCTCCGAGACTTTCCTTCATCTATCCCACGGTTCTTACACCCTTTCCTCCCCGCAGAGGACTGGTATGAACAGTTGTATCCCCTCATCCTTACCCTGAAGGACTGCATGGGAGAAGTGGTGAACCGAGCCAAGCAGTCCCTGACGTTTGTGCTCCTTCAGGAACTTGCGTACAGCTTGCCCCAGTGTTTGATGCTGACTCTGAGAAGAGACATTGTCTTCAGCCAAGCGGTAGGTGCCTCTACTTGTGAGCACAGCACTGTGCTGGGTTGTTAAATACTATCCTTGATGAGGATAGAGGTCTTCTTTTGGTAGTTTTATTTTTCTCTCCCCGAAGTCCCAGTATATAGCTGTATATCCTAGTTGCAAGTCCTTCTAGTTCGTCCATGTGGGACGCCACCACAGCCTGGCTTGATGAGTGGTGTGTAGGTCCGTGCCCAGGATCTGAACCAGTGAACCCCAGGCTGCTGAAGTGGAGTGCGTGAACTTAACTGCTACGCCACTGGACTGGCCCCTTGGTCGTTTTATTTTTAAAGGGATCCTTTTTTTTAAGTTTTGGTACCCAGTTTTTCTTAATCATAATAAATATGAGCCAAATAGAAACAGTTTATGAGCCCTTAAGCATTTATTTCTGCAAAGAGGTAGCTAAGTCTCTGAAATGGACATTCAATTTCACGGGGCAGAGAGTCTGTGAGGGAAAGGGTCACCCAGCCTGTTGTCATATTATGCCTTGGGGTCTCCGCACAGTGCACAGTGGGAGGAAAGGGGCAGCTGCCTTGCATTGCAGGTGGTCAGCTAGGACTGGTAAAAGGGGTTTGTTTGAAACCCCCTGTTTATACGGCTCCCCCATGAATCCCAGGACAGGGCCTCCCAATGATCTCCTCTCTTGTTTATAAAATAAGTTTGCCAGGCAGTAAGGCTTGAATGGGAAGTGACAGGACCACCTCCTTTGCATACACCCAACCCTACCCCGTGACACCAAGGCTGGTCTCCATCACACCGGCTCTGCTGGGGTCTTCCATCTCCCCTCCTGCCTCCACCTCGGTGACTGAATTTTATATGACAGACACATGGAAGTCTGTCTTTCTAAACATTCCAGGCAAAGGGCATATTTTAACCCAACTCTCCCTGTTCTCCAGTATTTCATGGATGGTCCAGTGGCAAATGGAGCTAACTATATGTCGGACATTGTGCTCTGCCTTACACATGTTTCTTCATCATGTCCTTTCAACGACTCTATGAAATGAGTAGTATTGTCTTTAGTCTATGTGTGCAAAAATAATAATAACATCAGAAGCATTAAATAACTTTTTTTGACTTCACTGCTAGAAATGGTAGACAGGATTTGCAGATGTATCACCTTGACTCCAGAGTCCATGCTCTCTCCTTTCACAGTGCTGCCTTCCCCAAACCTTGCTAGATCAAAGACTGTCAACTGGTTTCAAAATGGATATATAAGAAATTATAGTTTTCTTACACATACTTGAACTTTTAAAATGAAATCTGTGGTGCCTTGAAAGTCTTAAATGTTCTCAATTAAATTTTGTTGACCCTGGTAAATTTCTTCAACGGTTTTTTTTTTTTTTTTTTTTTTCTAGCTTGCTGGATTGGTTTGTGGTTTTATCATCAAATTACACGCAAGTTTACATGATCCTGGCTTCCTACAGCAGCTTCACACAGTGGGACTAGTCGTGCAATATGAAGGACTGCTAAGTACATACAGTGAGTGCTGCTTTAGCACGTGGTAAAATCATATTTCTACTCATAAGGACGCTTGATCCAAAGATTCTTCAGTTAAGCATAAAAAGGAGAAGTAAACCTTTACTGCATCAAGTATTACGGGAATAATGTTACTTCTAGTTCTTTGCGTTCATTCACCGTTACCTGTGCTTTTGCCCCCATTCTGTTTTGAAAATGGAATTATAGATTGTTTCATAGTGGAGTCCTGAGAAGCCATCTGGCATTTTTAATATAAAAGGCTCTTTGCCAACATAGTTTCAATGACTGGATTTTTAAAGTCCCAACCCTCTAATGTCTAGAACAGCTCTGTTCAATACATGGCCTGGTGTGGCTATTGAGCACTTGAAATGTGTCTGGTCCAAATCAATATGTACTAGACGTGCGTGCCAGATTTCAAGGACTAGTTAAAAAAGCTTTATATTAATAATTAATAATTTCATGTTGATTTATAGCTGAAACGACATTTTGGGTATATTGGGTTAAAGTAAAACATATTATTAAAATTAACTTCACCATTTTTATTTTACTCTTTTTAAAATATGACTCCCAGGAAAGTTACAATTATATATGTGGCTCACATTGTATTTCTAGTGGATAGTGCTGATCTAGAATCCTACTTAATTACCTCTTTCTCAGGCTTTATTTGTCAATGCATTGAGATATAAAACTCATATGAGCCTGGATCAGTCATCTTCAATTCAGCCATCTCTTTTATTTCTAGAAATCAAATATCAGCCATGCCAATGTAACGAGATCTGAATGCTACTGTGTTTTATAAAGGAGTTAAAACTTGTCTGTAGCCTCCCAGTAAATATATACATTCTTCCTTTTCTCAAAAGATACACAGACTGCTGGAGTCCATTGAAATGGTTCCTACTTCAGTAATGAAAACCTTCAGCCTCTGAGGCCAAACACTTTGAATGGATTCACTGCATTCAGAAACTCATTCACTGAAATGCCAGAAACATTCCGGCAGGGAGCTGTAGTACCAAGTGACATTTTCTTCAAACAGTCTGTGTGTAACTAGGCTCCTTTTCCCTTGTTTAGGTGATGAGATTGGAATGCTGGAGGACATGGCCGTTGGCATTTCAGATTTGAAGAAAGTCACATTTAAAATAACTGAAGCCAAATCCAATGATGTCTTGCCAGTTATAACAGGAAGGCGGTAAGTGGTGCCCATTTCTTAAAGACCGAGCTTTGTTAGATGTTTGTATTAACTCCTGACAAAAGAGCCGAGGAGAATTAAGGTTTGGTGTGCAATTCTTTCTTTTGTTCTCTTTTCCTTTTTGGTGAGAAATAAATGTAGAGGACACGACAGGGGAGGCTTGAAATACTCCTGGAAAGCTCATGACTGTTTGTAAATTGTACTGTAGTAAGGTGAGTATCTTAATGCTCCCCCATGAAATATGAAGAATACAAAATAATAGCAGGCATGAGAAGAACATTTTTCTCTTTATTACTATCTAGTCTGAAGTTGTGGATGTTTTTACTTCTGCTGGAATCATTTGGTTAATAGCATCATAATTCTTGAGATGACTTTATATTAAATTCTGTTAAAAGCAGGAACATTTTAGGAAAGGTGTATTCCTATGTCAGGGACATATACCACCATTTTTCTAATTATTTTGGATAATTCACTCCCAGATTGAGATTTCCAAGAATGATTTTAAATAGTTTTAAAGGTCAGTGTATGATGGGCAAAATATCAGAAATAATTAAGAAAAATGATGGTGTGCAGAATAGACCTCCAACAGAAGAATTATATCCTATGCTAACTCATTTCAATCGGAAGTCCTCCCAGTTTTAACTATTCTGATGTTAGCACTTTTAAAGGTTGCACGTGGATATTTGAAATTTGAAACATTCTCAGATCACAATGAAAAATATGAATGTACTAAAGAGACAGCCTTTTTCTTGCTAGAGAGAGATGGGGAAGAGATTAAGTATAAAAGTTTAAACTACACTTGTTTTCTTGTCCATAGTAAACATATGATATTTTAAATTTTGTGTGAATTATTTAAAATTTTCTGTGATTCTCAGAGATACATGGTTGAATGAAAGGTGGCTGTTTCTTATGCATAAAGAAAAACCGTATCCTCATAAAACTGAATATTTCATCTGTAAACTAATGCTTAATTTGCCATTCATTGGGAGAAAGAGGAATAAAATTGCTCATATACACACCTGGAAAAAAGTCCCACTCTATATCACCATGAAGATTATTATCAGAAGTAAGAACCTGATACTTTTATCATAATTTGTAAGGGAAGCTTACCAGGCCATTTGGCATAGGCAGAGTAAAAGATGCTTTTTCTGAGGGAGTTCTTCAGACTGTAGCTAAATTCAAAAGTTATCATACAGATGGGAGTAGGACTTCTAGAATGACGACATGAGCAGCTTGGCAAATCCTCTCTTCAAAAAGCAATATTACAATTAGACAGAATTGTCTGAAAGATCCATTTTAGGGCAAAGGGAATAAATCAAAGGCATACAACAAATTTAGAAGTACTTATTCATGACAAGCTAGTGAACATTGGATAAGACTCTTGGAGTCCGTGGCATTTTTGCCACGGGGTGCTCTCATCGACCCTGACTCTCTCAGCACAGCTTTACTATGGCAAGGCAGGCCATGAAAACCAGCAGTTGCACTACCAGAGGGGACAGACTTGATTCGGACCAGAGAGCAGAAAAAAGCACACTCCAGAAAAATTGTCAGAAACTTTGGTTAACAATTCCATTCACAATAACATCAAAAAGAATAATTGTCAGACTGAATTTAACAAAGTACTCCAAGAATTCTCCACAGGATACACAAAATATTGCTTAGAGAAATTAATAGAATCCAGTACATGGAAAGACAATCCCTGTTCCTGGATTGGAATACTCAATATTTTTTAGATGGCAGTGCTCCACAAATTGATCTATAGATTCAATGCAATCACTAACTGCCTACTTCCAAGTAGTCTTTTGTGGAGAAATCGGCAAGCTACACCTAAAATTTATATGGACATGCAAAGGACCAGAATAATGGAAACAATTTTATAAAAGAAGAAGAAAGTTGGAGGAATTCTATTTTCCAATTTCAAAATTTACTATAAAACAATGATAACCAAGATCTTATAGTACTGGCATAAGTATATACATATAGATCAATTAAACAGAATTTAGAACCTAGATATAAACTATTACTTTTTGGGTCAATTGATTTTTGACAAAGGTACCAAGGCAATTCAATAGAGAATGGAAAGTCTTTGCAAAAAATGTTGCTGTGACAATTGATTGTCTGTATGCAAAAAGAATTTAAAATCTCACTTTACACCACGTACCAAAAATTAACTCACAGTGGATCAGAGGTCTAAATATAAGAGCTAAAACTATGAAACTTGTAGGAGAAAATATTTGTTAAGTTGGGTTAGGTAAAGAGTTCTTAGATATGACCAAAAATCTAGGTTCATAAAATAAACAATTTGATAAACTGGATTTCATTAAAATTATACACTTTAAGCATTAAAAATACCATTAAGTAAATGAAAAGATAAGCCACAGATTGGAAGAAAATATATGTAAACTATATATCTGATAAAGGGTTTGTATCCAGAATACATTAAAAAAAATCTTACTCTCAATGAGGTAAAAAACCTGATTTAAAAATGGGCAAAATGTTTGAATAGATATTTTGCCAGATAAGATATATGAGTGGCTTATATGCATGTGAAAACCTACTCAATATTATTAGTCATTAGGAGAATGCAAATTAAAACCATAATTAGATAGCACTTCACCACTGTAGAATCATCATAATCAAAAAGACAGACAATAACAAGTGTTTGCAAGGACGTGAAAAACCTGTAACCCTCATACATTGCTAGTGGGAATGTAAAATGATATTGCCACTATGGAAATAGTTTGGCAGTTTCTTAAAAAGTTAAACCTAAAATTACCATATGACTCTTAGGTCTATACCAAAGAGAAAATGAAACTATATGTCCACACAAAAACTAATGCGTGGATGTTCATAGCAGCATTATTCATAATAGCCAAAATCATGAAGTAATCCAAGGATCTATCCATTTGTGAATACATACACAAAATGTGGTATCTATACAGTAGAATGCTATACAGCAATAAAAAGGAACAAAATACTGGTATATGCTACAACATAGATGACTTCAAAGTCATTATGCCAGGTGAGAAAAGCTAGGCACAAGAGACTACATACTATATCATTCCATTTACGTCAAATATGTAGAAAAGTAAAATCTGTAGAGACAAAATAGATCATTGGTTTCCTGGGGCAGGCAATGGGATTGGGGTTTGAATGCAAACAGACATGAAGGATTTTTTTAAGGTGATGGAAATATTCTGAAACTGAATTATTGTCATGATTGCACAACTCTATAAATTTTCTAAAGCTTTGAATTATACACTTAAAATGCATGTTTGTCAATTATTTTAATTTTATTTTTATTATTAAATTTATATAACATGTAATAAATTAGTAATATTGTGTAACAATATTACAATAATAATGTAATAAATATTATTTATTAAAATGTAATAAATTAAAATATCAACATAATAAATAAAATAAAATAATTTAATTATTTTAATAGAACTGACAAAAAGTTATCATAAATTGTATAATATTTCACCTTCAGAGCAACCTTTCAACATGGACCAACTCATTGATTCTTCTCTTATTCCTGAAAGACTTGAAATAAATAAACATCAGCCCTCTATTAGTCAGGCTATTGTAAAGGGCACTGAGAGCAATTTAAAAAAGAAAAAGAAAGGACAGGCCCCATGGCCAAGTGGTTAAAGTTTCCTGCACTCCGCTTCAGCGGCCCTGGGTTCGCAGGTTCGAATCCTGGATGCAGACCAACTCCACTCATCAGCTATACTGTGGAGGCATCCCACATACAAAGTAGAGGAAGACTGGCACAGATGTTAGCTCAGGGCTAATCTTCCTCAAGCAAAAAAAGAGGAAGATTGGCAACGGATGTTAGCTCAGGGCAAATCTTCCTCACAAAAAAATGAAAAAGAAAAATAATGTGTCCATCCGTGTGAGGGTAGTGCTAATGTCCCTGCTTGCTGGGTTGAAGGTTACTAGTTCTCTAGTTTGAAGCTCGGATAAGAAACAAGTCTCAGAGTCAATGATCCAGAGTGCATATCAGTATTGTTATACTAGGAGAAACTAAAAATATTTTCACAGAGACCCACTGATTGTCCTGTGCTTTTTTTCCCAATACATGTGTTACTACCTCAGCACTCTATATAGTTCTGGAAACACATGGGTTTTCCTGAATTCTGGGCAAAACTCTCTATATTGCTCTACTCAATTCGCAGTGCGTCAGATGATGGCGTTTCAAATTATGTAAGCAGCTATTCTTGTTGACCACATTTTATGAATCCTAATTTAAATTTCCAACACTAAACATTAGGGGTAATTTTTAATGGAAATTTTCAATGAGATGATTTGTTAATGTTGCAAAATGATTGAGAACCCCCAAAGGTTACACCTTAAATAATGAAACCGTTATGTTTCCATCAAACCGTCACAAACACAGAGGTTCATCAAGAATAACAACAATCAAGCTGTGCTAAAAAATGTTATAAGTGATTTGGTTTATTAGTTTCCTATATTGAAAAATCCATCATTAAATTACTTTTCTTATTCTTGAGCCTGGTTGTGTTTTAAAAATAACTAAATCAAGAGAACAAATAACAAATAAGGCTCTCTATGTATGTGGCCCTGGTATGCAAAAATGAACTAAACATTCTTCCTTTCCTGAAGGAGCTCAGAGTAATGGAGAGAAATCAAACATGTAAACAATTCTTTATGCCAAGCAATTTAATAGTGAAGTGAATGAAATTATAATCGAATGAATTAGTAACAGAAAATAAGCAGATAGCAGCCAAAAACTTCAATCAGTGCTAAATTCCAACTGTTTTATTGTTTCTTTCCAATGAATCTAAAATAACCTAAAAGTGAATGAAATAAACAACACTGCTTCTCTTTGTCCTCTGCTTCCTTTAGTGAACATTATGTGGTGGAGGTAAAGCTTCCAGCGAGAATGTTTGAGTCTCTGCCTCTCCAGATTAAAGAAGGACAATTGCTTCATGTGTATCCGGTACTTTTTAACGTTGGAATCAATGAGCAGCAAACTCTCGCTGAGAGGTAAGCTTCAGGTATAACACTGGTACTTCAGTTTTTCTTTTTAATTGTTATGAAAATGTTGAGCAATTCCACACTTCCCTGCACATAGAACTTAGGTTTTCCTGTTTATTAGTACCAAGTTATTTGGTACAGCAAGGAGAAATATTCATATTTAAGGATTCCTGACTCACACCAAATTTAAGTGTTGTGAGACAATGAGGAAAATATGCAATCCAATACCAAAATATTCACATGGATTAAATTTCCTCGTGTTTCCAAACGCTTATGTGTATACCAAATTTTAGGATTTTTTATGTTCATATGTATTTCAACATTGTAAAGGCAGCTCATGTGTCAATTTCTGGACCTAAAACACAGTCTATTATTTCCTTTTGTTTTCCTTACTAAAATAGTTGCTATTGACAGTTATTAACACATTTTTTCATAGTAATTTGCTCAAACGACACATGATTGTATGTGATCCTATGAATCACTGTCAAAAGCACTTTTTTGAACAGACAGAGGAGTTACTTTTGCCTCTTACGTGATTTACATGTAGAAATTATCGAAAACGTGGATATGAGTTGAGGTTCCTAGGACGCATTTTTGAAAAATTTTAGAGAAAAATGTTTCCCTGTTGCTGTACGGCCTGGTTGGAGAAGCTTCCCCGGGGGGAATCTTCTGGGGAGTTTGATAGTCTTCAGTATTTAAAATGCTCTCTTAACTATAATTCACTCTCCAAATGTCTTCTTCTTCCATAGGTGGCAGTTTTAAAGTGCCTGCCATATTCTCTGCCAGGACTTGATAGTCGGTTTTAGGCCTTTACTAATGCCATTTACTAAACTAAAAATGCCACTACATTTATAGTCCTCTTGAATTTCAAAGATGGTCAAGGTGCCTGTTTTTATCTACTTTTTTCCAGGTATTTCTCCTTCTCCCTTTCTTATCCAAAAGATGCTTCCTGGATAATAGAAGTTTTCGTAATTCTCACTTTCCAGTTACAAAATTAGATGACAGCTTTGTATTGCATGTTTAATTTCAAAGTGTGGAAGCTATTCATCTCTTTTCTTCTAGCATGCATAAATCAGAATCTAATTTTATTCACTGTATTGTACAAAAATTAAGTACTTCAGCAAATCAATATCTAAAATCAGATTATATTCCAGTCATCTGTATATATTTGTCTCACAGCAAGTTTGATCTTTGAGGTGAATGATATTTATGAACATAAATTATACAATTTTGGAAAAAAAGAATCAGCGCTCTCAATTAATTCTCTCTTCTTTGTTACACTAGAGTACAGTATTTTGGGTTTTAATTAGTAAGTTAAGGCCTGTGAGTGTGGTCTTGAGAGAGATGTGACACTCTCCATTTACAGACTTTTCAAGGAACAGTTAGCACTGTGTTTTCAAGCCTTCCAGGTTAGGTTAACTTGCATCGTTCATGTCATTGTGACTATTTTAGTTGTTAGTCACTTTATTTAAAAAATGCCCCTTTCCTTCCCTTCTCTCTCATCTCTCTTGCATATTAAAAAATGCAGTTTTTCATACCTGGAAGCTATGTAAGACACATGAGACTTGAAAAGGAGACAAAATGGCAAAGTAGATAAAAACACAAGAGAAGCAAGAAACACTCTGATGTCAACCATCTATTGATTTGAGCAGATCACTTCCTTTTTGTTTTCTGGCCTCATTTTCCTGATTCTGAATTTTGAGCTTTATCAGGCAACAGCTGAGTGTTAGGTATGTTATATAATTCAGGTGTAATATTTTACTACATATTTACCCATAGCCAAAACCTATGTTATATATATCCATTCTCAAATAAGTAAGTACTAATTAGTCTGCTTGGGCTACCATAGCCAAATACCACAGACTGGGCAGCTTAAACAACAGAAATTTATTTCTCACAGTTCCAGAGCCTGTGATCGAGGTTCTAGCCAATTTGGTTTCTGGTAAAAACTCTCTTCTGCTTTCTTGCTGTGTACTCACATGACCTCTTCTTTGTGTGTGCAGAGAGAGAGAGTGAGCTCTCTGGTGTCTCTTTCTACAAGGAAACTAATCCTATTGAATCAGGGTCCCACTCTCATGACCTCATTTAACCTTAATTGCATCTTTAGTGGCTCCCTCTCCAAACATAGCCACATTGGGGGTTAGGGCTTCAGCATGATTTTTGAGGGGACATAAATATTCAGTGCATAATATTATCCCAACCAGGATGGTATTTTTAAAATATCACTTGATTATGATGTCTGCAAAAGTTAGAAGAGTATATTTCAGAGTTCAGGGAAACTCTCCTGTAGATTTTCCTGGGTGTACGTTCCTGTCTTCCAAGTTTAATTCAGTATAGATATTGAACACTGACTCTGTACCAAGCACTATTCTGCCAAGCTGAAGGACACAGGGAGCATGGGATGTAACAAGAAGAATGAATATGATCTCTGTCCTGAAAGAACTTACCATCCAGTAAGGAAGACAGGTCAACAAATAGTACATTTCAGTTTGACTCATTCAATAAGCAAAGATTTGGAAGGGACAGGAAGAGGGGAGGAATGAAGGTGATTCATAGATGGGAGACTTCATCAGGGGAGTCTCGTAGAGTAGATGAGCAGCCTTCTACAAGGCTTTGAAGGATGAATAGGAATTAATCAAGCCAAGAAAGAAGGTAAGACGTTCTAGTCAGAGGAGGAGTAGCATGTGAAAAGTCCCAAAGACATCGAAATACTGCTAGTAAGGGAGAAGGGTGTAACTACATTCCCACAGGGATTTTGGAAGCCTTTGTGGAGAAGTTAGATGCTAAAAAGGAGACTAGACTTTGTCCTTACAGGGAGAGGAGAAGTAGTGAAGTTTAGTGAGCTGATATATGAAATGGGCGTTAGATTAACTTCTCCAACATTTCATTTATTGCACATGCAGCGTCTGGCACATAGTTGACACTAAAGAAATATTTGTTGAATGAATAATGATCTGACCATGATGTAAAGGATAGATTGAAACAGAAGGAGGCATAGCACTTGAGTATTTGGGAGGCTTTGTATCCAGTCAATCAGGATACAATTGAATAGCTAGTATATGATGACAGTGGTAAAGAAAAAGAAGGAAAGGATACCAAAGGTGTGAAAAGATCAATGAATAGTGGGTGGGGTGGAGAAAAGAGAGGAAATACAAAAGGGTGCCTAGATTTTGAAACTGAGTTAATGGCAGAATACCAGGAACATGTTTATTTCTAAACAAAAGGAGGAGGTGGTTTCAGTTTTTGGTTATGTTTCATTTGAAGTGGAGTGGGATGATTCGCACTGAAAATTTCAACTGACATCTAGAAATACAGATCTGAATGGAGATATTTGAACGGACATACATTTGGAAGCCATTTACGTAGCATCTTTTATAGAGAGAGAAGGGGACTTTACTTAAACCTGAGAAATGCTTAAAGAAAACGCAGGGGCAGTGATACACAGGTAGAAAGTTTTATCTTGAGAAAGAGGCAGAAAATCTCCAGTAGAGAGGCTGTTGGCCTCCATGGTGTGGACAGAAAAAAAAACGTAGGCAGAAGTGCAATACTCTCTGGGAGGTTGGAGGACCACGTGTGCCTACAGCAGTTGATTATGTGTACAAGACTGTTTGCAACCCAGTGTCTAGTCCTGGTCTTCTGGATCTCTCCTCAAACTGTCAGGAGTGAAGAGGAAGATGGGAAGGATAAAAAGAGAGAGGGAGGGATTTTTATATTTTCAGAGATGCAGCCCTGCAAAAGTGAGGAAACTAACATTAACTGCGTATCAGTTACGCGCAGGCACAGGGGCTGGTGTTTTAGATTTGGTATTTCATTTCAAGTTCACATTTGATGATTGTGAGGATATTTTGGTGTGTCCAAAGGGATTGGTGGAATCAGGGCCAGTGGAGACTGGAATATGTTTGAAATCACCATTGTGCACTGTTGCTTAAAAAAAGACTCCTTCCTTAGGAAAATATTGCCATCTATTTAAAAAGGAGGATAAAAAATGTTACATTCAAGTGCTATGTTATAACCCATAACTATTTTCATTTTCTCTTTTTAGATTTGGAGACGTCTCTTTGCAAGAAAGTATTAATCAGGAAAATTTTGAACTTCTCAAAGAATATTACACGATATTTATGGAAAAGATGCCTCCTGATTGTAAGTATGCTAGTTACAGAAAACAACAGTAATGGTTTCTTGATTATAAATCTTCAGGAGAGGTCAGACGTAGAGGTCAAAGGAAGAAAGAAGCATGGGGCGAGGATGTGAGAGCAATTTTGAGATTGTCTGAGCCAAAAAGACTGATTGCGAAGGTGGCTTGGCCAACACCTTTCTCATCACCCTGATTACTCTCTTGAATGTGTCCTGCTGCTCATGCTAGGACATTAATTTCAGTGCCACTGGAAAATGCCAAAAGTTAAAATTAAGGAACTTATAATTAGAAATCTCAACTGAGTCCAATAGAAATTTTGTGTAATTCTTAGCCACTTAAAAGACTTTAATAAAGATTTAGGTTTCTAATTTATAAGGCACATCAGATATATCACGCATATACAAGGAGAAAATCATACAGAATACGAGTTACACAGGTAATATAAAGTGATATAAACTAAGGAACCAATTTAATGTACTTATTGCAATATTTATGTGAAAATGTTAAGGCATGCAAGCCTATAGAAATGTGTTTTGTTTTTTTTGTTTGGTTGCTTGGTTTTTTGCCATTGTTCAGTCAGTTCTGCAGTTCTTTTTCCCAAAAAATTAAGCACATAACATTTGAAGAGTCCAAAATCAGAGAATCAAGAATGTATTTGGAGTTCATCCATAAGTACTATAAATATGTTGAGATATTGAAATATTCACAATGATGAGAAACTAGGTTTTAATAAAGTAGAAAATATTTTAATATTTGTAACCAAAAGCTGTAGTAAAAGTCTACCTGTCATCTAATCACTGGCAGTTTGTTCACTCATCTATATTCTGATACTTAGTTTGAAATATGTTAGGTCGCAGTGTTTAGGTCTTTTCATAACACAGTGATCTTGCCTTAAAATATTTCAACAGCGTGTGCATGTCCATGTGTGTATGGTTAGAAAATTCACCTGCAGTTTTTATATTATTCCACATAAAATATATTTTAACGCAAAATGAAAGTAAGTGTAGGGAGATTCTTTGGCAGCCAGCATACTTATGAATTTTAAATTTGTTAGCTACTTGAAAAGTTAATAATATAAGCAAAACTATTTTGCATTAGTAATTAATGAAAAAGGAGTTTGTTATAACTTGGGTGTTGGTGGATAATTTTTTTATGTTACTTATAATTTGCAAGTAATTCTCAGAACTTTTGTAAACCACTGGGCTTCTCTTTATGTGGGTCCTTTCAAAGTGTGGTTCCCTGGACCAGCAGCATCAGTATCACCTGGGAACCTGTTAGCAATGCAAATTCTCAGCCGCCCTGCAGATCTATTGAAGTTGTCTTGTAATCTGTGTTTTAATAAACCTTCCAGGTAATTTCTAATCCATACTAATGTTTGAGAACCAATAATATGTCATCTTTGCTCAAAACGTGCATTATATTAAAAAGTAGGTTGTTGGCAAAATCTGTGAAGGATTTCAATACTATACATAAACAATCATGTCACCCAAAAACCAAATGTATGTAATTGTTGAAGTGTCATCTGAGTTATGAAATACAAAATAATTCCTGCATTCCAGTCATTTAAACTCTTTATAGGAATATAAGTTTAAAACTTTGAAGAACATGAGACTTTATATAATATATTGCTAATTAAATATAACTGTTTTTTAAACTTGTAGATATATTTCATCCTTAAAAACAGAAGAGACTTCTGCATCAAACGAGTTGTATTTCATTAGACTGTTGTCTTAACATACTGAATTTTTCCTGATCTTTTATTTCCTATGATATTAATATATTTTTGAGACAATACTACCATAGATTTGGCACAGAATGGAGTTGGTGTATGATTCTGGTTTTCCATAACAAAATCCAAACCTGAACTATGCAATTATACTGACATATGTGGGGTTATTCCTCACGCAGAAATGCTGTAACCCAAAGCATCATTTGGGTTCACTGAATTCAAGGAAGAATGTATAAAGCTTTATTAAGAGTGTGAATAGAGTTTAGGCCATTTGTTAAAGAGGAAAAAACTACCATACTGGCTCATCCCCTTCATCCCTATAAACTCTTATTTTTCTTTCACAGTGAAATCAAGTGATGATCGTTATCAATGTTAAAAGGATCAGCTAGTCCTCTACACATATTACTTTCGCTTATTAATCCACTTTGGATGTCCTGTCCATTAATTTCACCAATGCTGATTTTTATGATTTGTGAATTAAATAGTGGAATTCTACATGTTCTTGAAGTAAAAAATTTCCCTTTCTTCCCGAAAGATTTTTTTTAACCTTAAGAGATGTCCCCTACTTTTGTGATATCAAGATTGAATGAAAAACTCTATTTCAGCCTATATATTCACTCCCAATCAAATAGCTTTCATCTTTTTTACTCTTCTCGTACTGAAATTTTTATGGCCTACAATACTTGCTCTGCTTGAAATACTCTCTAATTCTGTTAAATAGGTGGTAGATTCAATTAATAGTCTCAGTTCAGCAATCGTCACACATGGAATTGTTTATATCTTGATAACTACTATCAGCTTTATTAAGCACTCACCCCTTAGGAGTTAGTAATGGGAAAGGGGGTAGAATTCATGTACCAAACAACAGTACCTCACTTCCTTTCGATGTGTTCAGCATTGTCTGGTGATTTGTAGACTAATCTATTTTAAAATCTCAAGTTCATTTGGAATAAATATTCAATCAAATTCAAATGTTATTATCCTTCAACCCCATCTTCCTTGTATCTGCAGAGGGGACACTAATGGAAGGCTTTGTAGCAGAGGGATGGCCTCCCTCTCTTTCCCTCTCTTGGAGGATTTCTGGAGATCTGGAACTGGGAAGTGCCAGTTACAGAGAAGGATGCCAAGTATGGAGATCCCAAGAATGGGCAATCCCTTTCTTCTAAATCTTTGCTGAATCTTCATCTGAAGCAAGAGATACATATCTGAAATTGGTATCAGATAGACAGAGCTGCGGCTGACTGTGAGGTCTGTCTGCTCTGTCTGGGTACTGGATGTCGTGGATTTCTCCCTTCATATTTTCTTTGTACAGTAATGCAGCTCTCAGACAGTTGTTCTCTCTGCCCTGACTGTAAGGCACAGTAAATCTTCAGGAGCTACTTCCTCTCAGGCCCTACCTCTGATATTTACTGGCCTCTTTGATCAACTGGGGAAGCTACAGTGAGGCAGGCGTGAGCGCTTCTCTCTCTTTTTGCCCTGCTCTTCCCACTGGGTTTGAGGATCTCAGAAACCTTTAAAGTCCCCTTTCATGCCCACTGAAAGCATTAAGACACTTAAATTTGGGGTTAGCAAAATAAAACAAAGTGCTTGTGTAAATCACTAGCATAAATTGTTCCATGTTTTAGAGTAACCATCACATCTTATACATGACTTGGAGTTCCTGACTTTGGCAGAAGGAGCAGATGAAATGCTTCTTTTTCTCCCTTTTAAGTGAGGAGTGACCATGTCAATTCATCATCTCCAATCTCTCTATTTTCTCTCTGATAACGATGCACATCTCTTGCCCTTTTGCCAAAACAAAGGAGGAAGATTTTGTCTTATAGGTCTATTGGAATGCTACCACTTATTGACTCCTATGTTAGCACTATAAGGGTGGGCTGTGTAGCACTGTGAGCTAAAAAAGGAAAAAAAGTCACGGTCTTTTGTGAACTGTTATAAACTAACTCCTCAATATTTGACATCTTTCTTTTATAATAATATTTCCTCAACCACAGCATATGAATTGCATACAAAATACTAAAAAAAATCTTAGAATTGTACTGAGGGTAAGTCAAATATTGTTGTCATATTTCATCCTATTTTATTTTATTTTTTACAATTGTTGCCAGAAGCCTCACGTTCAATTTAGCAGACATTGATGGAGATCATATTATGTGTAAAAGCCTGTGCCGATCACTATGGATGATGAAAAGTGAATAAAATACAATCCCTAGTAGCTTACAATTTAATGATTCAATGTGATCGATGAATAATCTACATTAACTCTAAATCTCTTTTCAGAATATGAGTTGCTATTTTGATGTGTTGATCCTTTTTATGAGTAGTTTAGTTTTGTGAGTAATTTAGTTCAAAAGCGTTACTTTCTACTTGGCCATTTTTGACATTCATTTTGTGGTTATGCATTGCCACAGATTTTAATTCTGTGCTACGAAAAATAAAAGATCCTATGCATTCTTTCCATTTATAAAAATAGGGAAATAGGGGGGCTGGCCCCGTGGCCGAGTGGTTAAGTTCGCGCGCTCCGCTGCAGGCGGCCCAGTGTTTCGTTGGTTCGAATCCTGGGCGCGGACATGGCACTGCTCATCAGACCACGCTGAGGCGGCGTCCCACATGCCACAACTAGAGGGACCCACAACGAAGAATATACAACTATGCACTGGGGGCTTTGGGGAGAAAAAGGAAAAAAATAAAATCTTGAAAAAAAATAGGGAAATAGGATGACAACCTAATATTTTACGGATAATTATTTTTAGAGGAATTGTTTAAATAGTCTTCTATGTATTCCACATAGAAAATGAGAAAACATGATAGGAGGAGAGTATCCATAAGTATAAGGAAAGGAGGACTAAGGAAGCCATGAAAAATGGAGAAATTACTAGAGATCAATGGTCATCAAGCATCACTATAGCTAAGTGAGAAGAATATCAAGCAGGGGAAGGTGAACAAGAATAACAAATGTGTTGATGAAGAAGGAAGAATAAGGATTAGCGAGAAACTGTTGGATTTGGTGGTTATGAGTCATTGACGACATTTGCCAGAGTAGTTTTAATAAAAATATGCAGTAAAACCACATCATAGGCATTTAAGGAGAGAACTCATGTTGTACAAGTAGAGAAACAGAGGGACAGCAACCCCCTTCAGCAAGTTGACAGTAATTAGAATGAGAGAAATGAAAAAAACTGGCTGAAAGCAGTAGAATTAAGTGAGAGAGTTTTTCTTTTTTATTTCTCTGTCGTTTGGTTTTCCAAGTCAGATGGAAATTTTAAAGACAGGTGG